GCTTTATTACAAAATCCACACAACATAAAACATTTAAGGAGTTTGGAGTCCTCCGCCCACCTCATGGCTTCCCTTCACGCTTGAGTCCCGATATCTACAGTACAGACCTTACTTCTGATCTTGATCTGAGGAAAAATGATGGCGAAGGATGAGTCGTCGCTCAGTGAATAAATTCTAAGCTCGGATCGACATCAATACAAAAACAGTATTGGGCAGAAACACCCTAGCACATAACAGGACTTAAATTGTTTTATCACACTTTTCATTTTACTGAATCAATCAAGTTCACATGCTCACATTCCACAGTCAAAACACATAAAACAGATAACAGATAGAGGCATTTTGCTTATACAATTTCACTTTCAAACTTGCTAAATGATATACTCCTCGGGTAGTACAGTAGTGGAAGGCTGCAGGATAACCATGTACAGCCATCAGATAACTGGAGTACCGCGGGACAAAGCCTCATCCCGTACAAACAGGAGTGCACAAGGCACGAAACAGGAGTGCTCGCACCAACAGGAATATCGCGGGACACAACCCGGACCGATACAAAAACAGGAGTCGCCACGGGATTACCCCAGCCCGGCTAACTGAACAGAACAGGAGTACCGTGGGTCGTCACCCAATCGGCACGGTGCGGAGCACGAGCGCTCAAACAGGAGTATCGTGGGGTTTACCCACATCGATCCAAACAGGACACACTACTGTACCGAGGTATCATAAAGCCCTTTTACTTATTCTTATGTATTCACCTCTTTTCATTAATAGTTCACTTAGACACTACAGGCTCAAAAGCATTCATAGTGCTTTTGCACCCTCAGTCACCACAAAATGGAATGTAAGTTGAGGAGCTGACTCCGAGTTATTCAAGCAAAACAGGATTAGTAAGCCTAATGGCTTACTCCAAATCTAAACAGACAAGACGGGTTCGCAAGTTCGAATACTTACTCAAAATCCACACAATAAATCAACAAAATGTCTTTCCATATCCCATTCACAATTCATGCATTTCCAACTTCATACCAAATGCAGATAATGAATAAACACAAATAAGCCATATCACATAGCCATATCATTTCCCATAAATTTCCATATTATACCGGAGCCTCTTCATGACCCCGATCTGTATACGAGCCGCTTCATGACCCGAATACTGTGATTATGTTGAAGTAGATCTAAGATTAGAATCTACTCACAGTTTTGTCTTCACTCAGCTATGCCCTTCCCTTTGGATGAGCCCCCGGCTTGCTCCTTACCTTTATGTACAAGATTTCCAGGTTATTCAAGTACCAAGATACGTATACAGTCATCAAAATCATGGTTGTGTCCATGCATGTCGATAAGACCACTAGGGAAGTCATACAACCGTACACTTTATCCTGCTTCATCATTTTGATCATTTCTCCCTTTATACTTAACCAAATCAGTTGATTCTCGTTGCTACTGAAACTAGATTCATAGGGCTACAACATATCCAAATTTCAGACTATTTGGATCATTAGTTTGATCCCAGCAATAATTTTAACTTGACATTTCAAAACTGTCAACAACTTTCTTTTCACTTCAAAACCACTCCCCTTCTTCTAATAATTGTTCCTGACCACTCCGACATCAACACTACATTCTGAACGGTCAGCTCGAATAAACACATATGCTTAACCTCATACCAAATTTCTAGAACGATCCAACGACGGATTCACACAGGATCTTACCTCTAATCTACTGTCCTGCTACAGAAAAACAGTATCGCACCCCTTCTGTCCAGCGACTTTCCCCGATGAACCAGAGATCATATCGATGATCCCAATGGTCAAATCGTAGCCAAAGAAGTATGAAACCCAACCTACAAATATCAGGACGATCCAACGGCCTAATTGTCTGGAATCGTCCTTCTCACAGGCTGTCCTGCTGCTGGACGGAAATTGGCAGCACCCCCTTTGCTTCCTTCTTCTTCTTCCTCTCCTTGATACGCTTTTCTTTCTAGCTTTCACTCTTTGTTTCTGAAAGGAGGGTAGTGGTTTTTGAGGTGGTGAAACCAGGTGGAAGAAAAAGAGCAAGAGAGGGACGTGGGAGAGAGTGAGGGGAAGGGATGAGAAGGAAATGAGAGGTAAGAGGATGGGTAGATTTTTTTATCTCCCTTATCTAGAATTCTCCATCCCTCCAAATTGTCTATTTGGCCCTAAACTTTCCTTCACTTGCAATTAAGTCTAGAACTTTCACTATTCACTTTCTTTTTGGTTCAAAAGATTAATTTTTGTAACCCGATCACAAACACGTCATAATAATTAGTACGAGGGCAGGGATGTTACATTGCCTCATGCACATATACTCATTTTTTTAATCCCTGAAGACAAGTTTGTCGGCCCAGGAAAAATTGATTCCATCATTTGTGTTGAAATCCCTGACGAAGATGCTGACCCTCAATGCTTTCATGCTGTCAAAAAGTATATGCTTCATGGTCCTTGCGGTGCTGCTTTTCCGGCTGCTCCGTGCACTATAGCAGGAAAATGATGTAAGCATTTTCCAAAAAAATTCCATCCTGAAACTACAATTGATGAAGATGGATTTCCCATTTATCGAAGGCGTCAAGATGGCCATGCAATTACAATAAAGGGCTTCCCATTAGATAATCGGTTTGTCGTACCATACAACTGATATCTCCTACTATGATTTGAAGCTCATATTAATGTTGAGTGGTGCAATAAATCCAGGTACGCATCTACAATTGACCTATTTAGAAACTCTATTAAAAATGTTGAATTCTGTTAGCTTAGCCATTTATGAACCATGTTGTTGTACAGTACGCTCAACTTACTTCCATGTTAATTTCAACTTATATTCTTTTACACATTGTTCCCCACCTACTTGCTCCAATTCTCACTTCCCGTTAATATAGGATAAACTCCATTACTAAACAGATATCAATAATTGGCAATTGCATCATAGCATTTGATCTTCTCATGTCACTGCATAACTAACTTTGACTTTATATACATTAAATTATGCGGGTTTTACTCACCAGTATTCCATAGTTAACTACAAAACTGAAATGAATGCATGATACAATTAATGATTATGAGAAAAATGTATCAAGCTACCCTTACCTGGTCACATATATAGTCTCACGAGAGTGCTTCTACATGGTCATTCATTGCAGGTCGATTAAATACTTATTTAAGTATATCACTAAAAGTCCTGATCGAACAATGACTGCTTTAGTTCATACTGAAACGAATGCCTCTAATGTCCTTTCAAGCTCAGAGACAAATGCTCACAAAACCGATGAGATAAAAGCATTTTTGGATTGTCGTTATATATCTGCTGCTGAATCATGTTGGCGCATTTTCAAGTTTGATATTCATCGTCATCGACCTTCAGTTTTGCGGATGAATTTCCATCTTCCTGGAGAAAATTTGGTTGTATATGATGAACACAAATATATGGAAGAAGTTGTTGCAGACGAAGAACAGGATACAATGCTTCTAGCATGGATGAAAAGAAATATTCATGACCCACAGGCGAGACAACATACTTTTGTGGATTTCCCAGTTTATTATGTTTGGGATGCAGGGACTCATACTTGGAGACCACGCAAGTCCAAACTTACAATTGGCAGATTGTATTATGCACATCCATCTTCTGAAGACCAATTTTATTTGTGAATGCTATTACATGTTGTCAAAGGATGCTGAAGCTTTGAGGAAATAAAAACATTCAATGGGGTACTATATGAAACATTCAAGGAAGCATGCTATGCTAGGGGATTCTTAGACGATGACAAAGAATGGCATGACTGCATAATTGAAGCATCTTAATGGGCAAGTGGACATGAATTACGGAAACTTTTTGTGACTCTCCTTACATGCTCACAGGTTTCCAATCCGAGAAAACTGTGGGAGGACAACTGGGAGCTACTATGTGATGATATTCTACACAAGCGTCGGCGTGCCCTTCATTTACCCAGTTTACAGTTATCAAGAACTCAAATTCAGTATCTTGCCTTAATCGAGATAGAGAAATTGTTACAGAGAAAATGCCAAACATTAGCTGATTTCCATGGTATACCAGTTCCTACTGTAGATTCCATGACTAATCATGCAACTCGTTTAATTGGCGAGGAGTTATGCTACAACACTGCAGAGTTGCGAACCTACTACAACAATCACCTCTCACTGTTGATTGTTGAACAAAGAGTTGCCTTCGAAGCAATTATGGAGTCGGTCAATGGAGATTTAGGTAAATTTTTTTTCATTGATGGCTATGGAGGTACAGGGAAGACATTTTTGTGGAAGGTTCTCATAGCAAAATTAAGGTCCAATGGTCAAATTGTTCTACCAGTTGCATCATCTGGAATAGCTGCATTGCAAGGTGGTAGAACAGCACATTCCCGTTTCCGGATTCCCCTACATCTCTCCCCAACAGCAACGTGCAACATAGCACAAAGAACAGAATTAGCAGAATTGATTCAACACACAGATTTAATTATTTGGGATGAAGCACCACTAGCTCACAAGCATTGCATGGAGGCATTAGATAGAACTTTGAGAGATATTCTTCAAACAAAGTTCCTAGATAGCAAACATAAACCATTTGGTGGGATTACAATTGTCTTTGGTGGTGATTTTCGTCAAGTCCTACCTTTTATTCACAAGGGAACAAGAATAGAAACTGTGGCATCATCATTGAAAAAATCCTATCTATGGGATAGTATGATTGTGCTTAAGTTGACTCAAAATATGAGACTTCATCAACCAGGTTGCACCAGCCAAGCAGCGGCAGAGATATCATCATTCTCAAATTGGGTCCTTGAAATAGGAGATGGGAAACATTGCTCTATATTGGGAGATGCAGATATCCCAATACCACAAGACCTCTTACCCCAAGGACATAACTCACCAATGGAAGACATTGTTCATGCCACATATCCAAACTTGGAGCAAAATTATGAGGATATAAAATATCTACAGGCTAGAGCTATCTTGGCGCCACACCATGAGATGGTTGACAAAATAAATAATTACATGCTTAACCTCATTCCTGGAGAAGAAGCATTGTTTCCCAGCTCTGATTCAATAGCCAATGCGAACGGCAGTGGGAGCTACACAAATACCGAGTATCCAATTGAGTTTCTCAACACAATAAAACCGGACGGCCTTCCAAATCATGCATTGAAGCTTAAAGTGGGAGTTCCGGTTCTTTTGTTAAGGAACATTGATCAACGAGCAGGATTGTGCAACGGGACAAGATTGGTTATTAGACGATTGGGAAGATGGAGTATCCAAGTAGAAATTCTTACAGGGACGAATGTTGGCGACCAAGTTTTCTTGCCGCGAGCAGTTCTAACAGCTGAAGTGCCACATTTAAACTTTACTTTGAAAAGGAGGCAGTATCCTATAGTTTTGTGTTTTGTCATGACTATCAACAAGAGTCAAGGTCAATCCTTAGAGCATGTAGGATTATGCCTTCAACATCAGGTGTTCTGTCATGGTCAGCTCTACGTTGCCATCTCTAGAGTCACAAGTAGACAAGGCCTCAAAATACTTAGTTGTTATGAAGAAGTACTAGAATGGCTTACAATGAAGAACATAGTGTATAGAGAGGTTCTGAATAATTGCTGAATCCTAACAAGAGCTATAAAGGCAATCAGACTTCCATGTTTATCTGCAATATACGATTGTAACTAAAACTTGGTACCATTTTGTTTCCTCTTTTAACTTACAAGTACATTTCCTAGACCGAATTTCCAACATGTATCCATTTTTCCTAATCTAAATAATCGGCACTTAGCCATTGTACTAGCCAACCAAAACTCAAATTCTCAAACACATTTGGGCTCCATTAAGCTAAAGTAAATTATAGCTTTACCAATTTTGGCGTGGTATGCCTTACCCTTTCTGTGCAGTATTTTTTTATAAAATGTTGTTTAAATATATATTTAAAAAATTAAAATATCTACCGATTTAAATTGTTTTAAGAAAAAGTCACAACCAAAGAGTAACAAAAAAAATAAGTACTAGACGAACTTTTGGTACTCATTTAAAAAAAAATTTATCAATTGTATACTCTCATTTGTTTTCATAAAAATCTTATTATTAGCTAAACAAACCGAACATTTTAAAATATTAACCAAACCGTTCAAAATACAAAATTTAACCAAGATTCTATAAACCATCAAATATTATCCATCTCTTTGTTACCGGTAATAAAAATTCACTTTTTTAATAATTAAAATACTAAAATTTTGAAACGTTGGTCTACATGTGTCTCTTTCAAATCAATACGAAAAAAACTTCTAACTAAATAGTAATTTAGTTCTACTTTTTGTTATCTATAAGGTTTGACTAATCTTTCAAAAAGCAGCAAAATTCAACTAATACTTAGTATTTTAATAAGTTCAAACTCCAAAAATTTGACGTACTTAATAATAACAAGAATCACTAATTAGACATTAAATACCGTACAAAATAAGGGCTCTAATTAAACCATTGAGGAACGAGCTGGTCATCAATATATAAGTATGAATATGAATAATAGCTTCCTCATAGTCAGATATCGCAGATTGGCAGAGCACTTTTGGTCACATAACTAAATTAAATAGACTATTTGGAGTTTGGACTAAAAAACACCCTAAAAGGCTTTCTAGCCCGCACTAAGCATCCATCTTATCTGGCAGCCGATCCACATAAAAGGCATCCTACCAATCGACACTACCACCTCCAAACGAAAAACCTTATCTCCAAAACATAGCCACAAAAGCAACTGCCTCCCCAGTCCTCATCGCCGACAAACCATACCGCAACCTTCAAATATCAAATTCGAAACCAGCAAACCACCGCATCTTTTCGCCCAAATCAAACTCCACACAACTGCCACAATGGTGCACTATTTAACAAAGAACGTTTCGCCCCCAAGTGCTCTTGCGTGCAATTGTCGAACCAAAATCGGCTACCATATTCGAGGGACAAATCAAAGCAACGATCGTCGTTGTTTTGCAGCAGTAGCATCACAGAACACACCCCACTCCAACTAACTACTCATTTGGTGGTTGGAAGCAAAAGAAGCCTGCCGATATTCAAGCATAAAAGCATCAAAATGGAAAACACACTGCTGGCAAGCCTTCAAGAAGGATCTTTTCAAGGGACAATCAGAACAAGAATTTCCAGAATGTGGGATGCAGTCAATGTAAAAACCAAAGCCCTCATGCGTCTCGACATCATTTTAATTGATGAGAAGGTACCAAATCCAAGTCTACACCTTCAATTTCAATTACCAACCAATAGATCTCTTTAAAATCTCCAGTGCCAAAACTCACTTTAACGGCTACTTTTCCAGGGAAAGGACATCTTAGTGCAGGTGCCAAAGCCATTGATAGACACATTTAAACCAGGCCTTGAAGAACAGAAGATTTATCTCATCAATTCATTTGTTGTAAAGAAAACCAAGGGACCTTACCAGCCGACAGACAACCCCCTCACAATCCTCTTTACCAGGCAAACTATGATACGCCCATCAGTAGAGGATGAAGACATGCCTCGCTACAAATTTCGGTTCCTCAAGACTTCTGACTTCGACAAAAAATGCAATGATGTCAACATTCTAAGTGGTAAACAACTTAACAATCAATTTAAATCAAGTAAATAAATCAGGTTTTAATTTCTTTGAATAATGCATTGCAGATGTGTTTGGCCGCCTTCTTGAGTACTCTACAATAGCAAGCCATTCCAATATAACAACAAGAACGGTTAGAAAAGAGCTTCAAATTTGCATCCCGGGGTAAACTAATCTAACCATTCCAATATGTATTAATTCAACGCATTGATTCAAATTATATGTTAACAAAGTATTGACCTCAATATTTGCGCAACTAAATGTCATGCAGCGAAGAGAAGGTTCAAGTCACATTATGGGGTGAAATTATAGAGCAATTCAATCAAATCATTGATGCTAATGCAAATGAACCGGTACAGTTGATCATCACTTCGGTCGTAGTCAAAGAATATAAAGGTAACACTCAACCAAACAGATTTTATCACAAAAAGAAGATTTACATTACAACAAAAGAAAAAAAAGGACTAACCAAGGAACACAATATATAACATCTTGCAGGTCACAAATATCTATCAACCACCACAGCAACCAGAATTTATGGCAACTTAAACATTCCAGAGATCTTGGCAGAAGACAACCCCCCAAATGCCATGGAAGTGGCGGTTCAACCTCCCAATAAATATAATATTCCAATCGAAGAGGAACCACCACAAGTGACCTTGGAAGAACTTGAAGCAGAGAAAACAAATATGGAGAATGAGGTATCAAATTACTATATGTGACAAATAAGATTATTTTGTTGAAATATAAATAACAAATTTGTTTTCAATAGGGAAATTCCTATGAGGTGATTGCACAAGTTAAAGATGTTTTAGATGATTGGTGCTACTATAGTTGCTCAAACTGTCCTAAAAAAATCCACCTAGCCAACTGGAGTTTTGGTGTCAGCAATGCAACCTAAGTTCAATTAATGGAGTTGCAAGGTAATAAAAACAGCTCCACAAGTCATTGACACAATATTTAATATAATTAATTCATCTAACATGTGATCTCATTGCAACATGTACAGGGTTGTGCTTTCGGTCCAAGACAGAACCAATACAACATACTTTGTAATCTTAGATCATTCAGGCAGAAAATTCTTCAACGTCACTGCGGAACAACTACTTGATGCAAACAGCGGTGATATGCTGCAACCCCCAGAACATCTTGCACTGCTCATTGGAAAGACAAAGAAATTCAGAATCAAATTGACAAAATACAATACTGAACAATCTTCCAACACCTACACCATCACCAAGATCGAGGATATGAATCCTCAAAACATCCAAGAATTTGAGGCCAACCAACAAAAGGTACATCTCAACTCTGTCGACATTTCAATGAATAATAATAGGGTCATCTATATGAAACCTACAAGCCCATATTACCATTTATTCAAAAACACAAACAAAGCAAAACCATACCCTGCTTCTCCATGTCCCATATTCCAATACATTCCATGCTCAATTTATATCTACTTATATGCATTAACTTTACAACATGCACAGGAAATAGAAGCCTCAAATAAAGATGAAGCAAGCAGCAGCACCCTAAAACCAATGCACCCAACTGATCCTGCCATAGAGTTAGCAAGTCAGGAACAAGAGTCAGAATACTAAATGGACAAAGCTAAATAGAAAGGCAAGGCAATCGCTTATCCCACCAATAAGAGTACACCAGAACCCAAGTGCTACAAGAGGCGAAGAACTTCTTTGGTGATATCAGACTCCGAGTAACACCTCAGTCCCAGCCATCAATCATCCGCTACCATGCAACAACTACATATATCTACTATGTCTAAAATTTTAGAATCATAACTTTAGCTCTAATATTCTATAGAAAACCTTCAATTGTGTATATATAGGAATAAATTACTGAAGGTTTTCATATTATGCTATTATTTGTAAATATATATATCTAGCATAATATGCTATTATTTGTAAATATATATGTATGCGGGTGAAATCCGGGGTACCGTATACCTTGAGTATGAAAACGCTATCTAGACTTCAAATTAGCAGGATTTTTTGGCATGATACTATACCCTAACCCTTAATGAGTGAACCCTAGGTCCTAATTATCTAAATCATAAACTATAAACCCTAAGATGTGCATTTATTTTTTTTGCCTATATTTGGATGAATCATAACCGTCGATTATTGTTTCTAATTAAATTGATCTTGGGGTATAAGATTTAGAAAATTAAGACCTAGATTTTGATCTTTAAGGGTTAGAGTATAGTATCATGTTCGAAAGATTAGTCAATTCAAAGTTCTGGATAGCGTTTTCTTACTCAAGGTATGCGGTACCCCGGATTTCACCCTGGGTACCATAGAACTCCCTATATATATATATATGGTGGTTTCTATCGTACCTTGGGTAAAATCTAGGGTACGACATACCATGAGTAAAAAAATGCTATCTAGACCTCGAATTAACCAAATTTTTGGACATGATACTATACTCTAACCCTTGATGATTGAAACCTAGGTCTTAGATTTCTAAATCAAAGAGCCTAATCCCTAAGATTGTGCCTGTAATTTGTTGCATATATTTCGACAAATCATAGCCGTTGATTTTTGTTTCTAATTAAATTGATCTTAGTGTATGAGATTTATAAAACTAAGACCTAGATTTTAATCCTTAAGGGTTTGGGAATAATATCAGACGCCAAACTATGCTCAATTCGAAGTCTAGATATCATTTTTTTACTCAAGATATGTTGTACCCTTGATTTTACCCAAGGTACGATAGAATCACCCATATATATATATACACTACAAAAAAAAATAGGTTTTAACGAGGGGCAAAAACGGTCGTTAATTGTCAAAAAACGGTCGGGAAAAGTCATTGACGACAGTATAGGGCCCCTCATTATAGGCTTCGCCGGTAAAAGTCAATACCGACGGGAAAACACTATACGGTCGTTAAAACATTTAACGAGGGTAGTCACTTCCGGTCGTTATATATGAATTTTTATCAACAAGATTCATAAACATTGCCGACGGAATTACCCTCACTAATACAT